CCCGCCACCGCACCGGGCTAATTTTTGTATTTTTTTAGTAGAGACCGGGTTTCACCACGTTAGCCAGGATGGTCTTGATCTCCTGACCTTGTGATCCGCCTGTCTCGGCCTCCCAAAGTGCTGGGATTACAGGTGTGAGCCACCGCGCCCGGCCCTGGATCAATATTTTTAAGATCTGGGCCACAAATACATATACTTTAAGATTTCCCAGCCATGCGTGGGAAGGCTGGTCTGTTGTGGGCCAGGCTGGTCTCAATCTCTTGACCTCAAGTGATCCTCCTGCCTCAGCCTCCCAAAATGTTGGGATTACAGGTGTGAGCCATTGCGCCTGGCCAGAAATATAACATTCTTTTTTTATTTTTATTTTTGAGATAGAAGTTTGCTTTTGTCACCCAGGCTGGAGTGCAGTGGCAGATCTTGGCTCACTGCAACCTCCACCTCCTAGGTTCAAGCAATTCTCCTGTCTCAGCCTCCTGAGTAGCTGGGATTACAGACACTCACCACCACACCCAGCTGATTTTTGTGTTTTTAGTAGAAACAGCATTTCATCATGTTGGCCAGGCTGGTCTCAAACTCATGACCTCAGGTGATCCATCTGCCTTGGCCTCCCAAAGTGCTGGGATTACAGTTGTGAGCCACCGTGCCTATTCAGAAACATGACATTCTTTTTATCCTGTGGAAAGGGGCCAGAGCCGTTTGTTCACATTTCATCAATAGGCTAGTGCACTAGGAGATGGAAATGGGAAGCCGAGGGCTGACTGGTTATTATGGTCAAAATCTCTCTAGAGGAAGCTCTACAGAGAAGAATGTCAGATGCAGAAGAAGCTCCCGGAGAAGCAACAGGAGAAAATGGAGAAACAGAAATGAAAGAAGAGGAGGAACCTAATCCAAATTATAAAGAAGTAGAAAATCTACAACAGGAATCAAAAGATGACACATTAGCATGGAGAGAGTCTCAGGAGGAGGAGAGGAAAATGGGTGAGGAGGAAGGGGAGGAGGAGGAGCAGGAGGAGGGGGAGGAGGAGAAGGAGGAGGAGGAAGAGAAGGAGGAGGAGGGGAAGGAGGACAAAAAGATTGTCATGGAAGAAACTGAGGAAGTGGCTGGAGAAGCCCAGGAGAAGGAGGCTTCAGGAATACAGGAAGAAACCACAGTGGAGCCCCAAGAAGTCACAGAGTCCATGATCCATTTGGAGACACAGATTACCGATTCCCAGTCAATCACATCAGGAATTTTCCCAGTAAGTAGTCATCTTCATTCAATCGTCAATTCATTCAGAATCATTAATTGAATGCTTAGTATAGGCCAGACTATGGGAACACAAAACCAAGTAAGATACAATCCATTCCTTTTTTTTTTTTTGAGACAGAGCCTCACTCTGTCGCCCAGGCTGGAGTACAGTGGCACAATCGCAGCTCACTGCAACCTCTGCCTCCTGGGTTGAAGCTATTCTCCTGCCTCAGTCTCCTGAGTAGCTAAGATTACAGGCATCCGCCACCACGCCCAGCTAATTTTTTGTATTTTCAGTAGAGGTGGGATTTCGATCTTACCATGTTGGCCAGACTGGTCTCAAACATGTGACCTCAAATGATCTGCCCACCTTGGCCTCCCAAAGTGCTAGGATTACAGGCACACGCCACCATGCCCGGCCACAATCCATTCCTTTTTTTTTTTTTTTTCGAGACAGAGTTTCACTCTTGTTGCCCCGGCTGGAGTGCAATGGTGCGATCTCGGCTCACTGCAACCTCTGCCTCCTGGGTTCAAGTGATTCTCCTGCCTTAGCCTCCTGCGTAGCTGAGATTACAGGCGTCCGCCACCACACCTGGCAGATTTTTTGTATTTTCAGTAGAGACAGAGTTTCACTCATGTCGACCAGGCTGGTCTCAAACTCCTGACCTCAGGTGATCCACCAGCTTCGGCCTCCCAAAGTGCTAGGAGCCCCCGTGCCCCGCCACAATCCATTCTTTTAAGGAGCTCTAAGGTGTGTAGGGAGGCAGACCCATGAGTGCAGTGACTGAAAGATGCACAGGAGATGAAACAGGGCCTCTTAACCCAGTTTGGAGGATGGCCAGGGAAAGTTTCCTGGGGAAGGTGGGTGCCACAGCTGAGGTGCTCGCCTTAGAATGGAGTCGGTATGATAATAGGAGTGTAGGCTTCCCACAGACTGCTCCCAGTAGGAGAACTTAGCTGTGGCCTACGAATAGGTCACTCTCTGTAACTAGTCAGCCTTTTGGAGACCACTAGTGCCACTTAGAAGAATGATTTTGCCATTGTGGGTCTGCTGGTAGGCCAAGAATAAACTGGAACACACCGTGTTTGTCCTGTTCTGTTCTTTTCTTTTTTCTTTTTATTTTTTCTCTTTTTCTTTTCTCCCTCCCCTCCCCTCCCCTTCCTCTCCCTTCTCTCCTCTTGTCCCTCCTTCCTTCCTGGGGTCTCACTTTGTCACCTAGGCTGGAGTACAGTGGCATGATCTTTCACAAGCAGCCTCGACCTCCCAGGCTCAAGCCATCCTCCTACCTCAGCCTCCTGGGTAGCTGGGACTACAGGCATGCACCACCACATCCAGCTAATTTTGTTCATTTTGGGTAGAGAGAAGGTGTCACTCACTATGTTGCCCAGGCTGGTCTTGAACTCCTGGGCTCAAGTGATCCTCCCCTCTTGGCCTCCCAAAGTGTTGGGATTACAGGCATGAGCCATTGCACCCCATCTTGTTTTGTTTTTTAAGTACAAAATGTTCCAGCCTCTTTTAAAAAACATTTCATCATTCTTAGCTGAGGCTAACACTGAGACTGGCTGACTGGGAATAGAAAAGGAGAATAAATGGTGAGTGTAGCAGCACGTACTGCATGTGGAATCATGATCTTGTATTTCTTTTTAAAGAAAACCCGAAGAGGTAGCAAGTCAAAGCCTTCCTTACAATTGGAGGATGCAGAAACAGATGAGCTTTTAAGAGGCCTAAGCACACAACTTGAATTTGATTTGGATCAAATCAGTCCTGAGGAACAACAGATTAGTTCCCCTGAAAGGCAGCCCTCAGGAGAGCTTGAGGAGAAAACCGACGGGATGCTCCAAGACGAACTGGGACGAGAAAGAAGGGATTTGGAGCCAGAAAACAGAGATGAGGGACAAGAAAGTAGAGTATCCAACATCCAGTCTGAAGCAGGGATCTCCAGGGAGTCACTGGTGTCCAGCACCACAGAGGACATTCTGTTCGAAAGGGATGAAAGTGCCCCGGTGTATCCCTTGGTAAGTGTAATGCTTTTGAATCTCCCCCAGCACTTTGAGAGTGTTGCGCAATAGGGGAATTTTATGCATGTGGGAGAAAAAGAATACCACCAGAAGGATACTTTTTAAACTAATAACAGACTTGTGTCTCTTTTTTTTACACAGAGTCTTGCTCTGTCGCCCAGGCTGGAATGCAGTGGCACCATCTTGGCTCACTGCAGCCTCTGCCTCCCAGGTTCAAGTGATTCTTGTACCTCAGCCTCCCAAGTAGCTGGGATTACAGGCATGAGCCACCAAGCCTGGCTAATTTTTGTATTTTTAGTAGAGATGGGGTCTCGTCATGTTGGCCAGACTGATCTTGAACTCCTAACCTCAGGTGGTCCACCTGCTTCGGCCTCTCAAAGTGCTGGGATTACAGGCATGAGCCACCGCGCCTGGCCTAGACTTGTGTCTTTTAAAGTTCCGTTAAGAGCTCCGACTGGAACATGTGTGACTGAACATGAGCTTGAGAGCTGCATCTGGGTTCAATGGTGTTGCTCAGCAGGCAGGAAATTCCAGACATAGTTTGTCTGTTGCATAGGGTGCTATTTCACGTGGGAGATTCAAACTCCATTCCGGCCCTCTCCCCAGCTTCCTCCTCCCCCTTTCCTTCTCGCTTCCTCTCCCTCTTCTTCCCCTCCCCTCTCCTTTCCCTTTTCTCTCCTCCCCTCCTGTCTCCTCTCCTTTTTCTCTCTCACATTGTAAAATTCCTCCTTCATGCCACAAGTTCCACCCCTTCCCCTTTCTGCCTCACCTCTTCTGCCTTGATATCTTTCCATGCCCCCCAAACCATCCATTCCAAGAGGGTCCCAGAGGGGAAGGTAATGGAGGAGTGAAAGCCGCGTGAAAAGGCCCAGGCAGTCCAGAGGAATCTGCCTTTGCCACTGCTGAAGATATTCCAGGGAGGCACCATCTGCGAGGAGTAAAAATATTATCATTTACCAAGAGAAGGAAAAGGAGGAGTTTTTTCCTTCTTCCTCCATCTGCTACTTTCTGAAAATTGTTTCCTAGGATTCATCCTTCCTGTAGATTCATGCCTTTGGAAGATGTGGAAGTGATTGAATGGATATCAAATACTTAATGTAGTTCCTAAGACATAGTGAGTACTCAGTAAGTGTCCGCAACTGTGTGGCAATGACGATGACGGTGGCAAGATGTCTGGAGGGAAATGCAGACAACTGAAAACCTCCTTTCTGCAGATTGGCTTCATTTGAGCCTAGTGTGACAGGCTCTCTCCCATAGCTTGCAACTGTTCAGTCTGAGAGGAAGAATAATGGAGCTTTAGGGCCCACAAAGACTCTTGTCTTGGTTAGCCAGCAAGCATCAACCAGGTCATATCTCTAAGGAGAAGGTGTATTCTTCGTGTCAGGGGCCCAGCTCTCTGGACCTGGCAAGAGCCACTCCCCAAGTTTTGGGTCTTGCTTAGCCTTGGTCTCACTGCAGAACCAAAATTTTTCTAGATGGTCTCCCTTTGCAAATTACTTTAGCTTTTTAGTTATTTATTTATTTTATTTATTTATTTTTTTGGAGACAGAATCTCACTCTGTCACCCAGGCTGGAGTGCAGTGGCATGATCTCGGTTCACTGCAACCTCTGCCTCCCGGGTTCAAGTGATTCTCCTGCCTCAGCCTCCCGAGTAGCTGGGACTACAAACATGTGCCACCACACCCTGCTAATTTTTTTTTTTTCTTTTAGTAGAGACGGGGGTTTCACTGCGTTAGCCAGGATGGTCTCGATCTGACCACGTGATCCACCCGCCTTGGCCTCCCAAAGTGCTGGGATTACAAGCATGAGCCACCACGCCCAGCCTTTTTTAAGAGACAGAGCCCTGCTGTGTTGCCGAGGCTGGACTAGAACTCAATCCTCCCACTTCAGCCTCCTGAAATTTCTTTAGCTTATTGCAAGTATCTTCTTTCTTCTTTCTTTTTCCTTCACTTTCCTTTTCTTTCTCTCTTTCTTCTTTATTATTTTTGTTTTTCTTTATTTTGAGGCAGGCTCTCACTCTGTCACCCAGACTGGAATGCAGTGGTATGATCATGGTTCACTGCAACCTCCATCTCCTGGGTTCAATGGGTCTTACTACCTCAGCCTCCCGAGTATCTGGGACTACAGGCGTGTGTTACCACACCCAGCTAATTTTTTTTTTTTTTTTTTTTT